ATACAAAATTGAGTCCCCTTGGTCCATTGATGCTCCAGACTAAATAAGGATAAAACCCAATGGTTGGAGTAGGGTTTCGAAGGTTTTAACTCTATTTCTCCACTTGAGCCCCTCCCTTCTGCCCCCTGGTAGACCACACCCACTGCTTATACAAAATTGTTTACCCTTCACCCAAGGCTGCTTCATACCAAATTTGGACAAAATCCTGTCATTCCTACAGAAGAAGAAGGATTTTGAAGAATTTGCTATGTTTCCCCTATCGGGCCCCTCCCTTCTGCCCAAAGGGGGGCCACACTCGCTGTTTATACGAAATTGAGTCCCTTCTGCGTAAGGATGTTCTAGACTAAATTAGGAAAATATCCCTTAATCCCTATGGTAGAAGTGGGATTATAAAGGTTTTACCTATATTTCCCCTATTGGACCCCACCCCTCAGGTCCCAGAGGGGCCACACCAACCGTTTATACAAAATTGGTTCCCCTTTACCAAGGATGCTCCACACCAAATATGGACCAATTCCTACAGAAGAAGGATTTTAAAGAATAATCTGCTATATTTCCCCTATTGGGCCCCGCCTCTCAGGCCCCTGGGGGGGACCAGACCCACGGTTTATACAAAACTGGTTCCCCTTTACCTTAGCATGCTGCAGACCAAATATGGACAAAATCCCCTCATTCCTACAGAAGGAGAAGGATTTTAAAGAATTTGCTATATTTCCCCTATAGGGCCCCACCCCTCAGCCCCCAGGAGGGCCAGGCCCACTGTTTATAAAAAATTGGGTCCCTTTCACCCAAGGATGCCTCAGACCAAATATGGAACAAATCCTTTCATTCCTACAGAAGAAGAAGGATGTTAAAGAATTAGCTTTATTTCCCCTATTGGGCCCCACCCACGGTTTATACAAAATTGGTTCCCCTTCTCCCAAGGATGCCTCAGACCAAATATGAGAGTATGACCCAAAACCTGCTGTGACAAGATGGTAGTTGTCGGTACAAAGACAGAAAAGACCAAATACTCTACCATATGGAGCAAGAAACTACGATGCAGTTTCTATGCTATATCTAAGAATAGCCTGAGCGGGCCAGCATCCTTTCACAGCAAGGTTTGCGTCATGTATACATCCCAATGACCATAATTTAAAACGTCAGTTAATACTGTGTTGTTTTAGAATTTAATTCTAAGTTAACATGTCTAATAAAGTTGGAAAAATGCAAATTGCAAGTTGTTTTCTCATTTAGCAAGTAAGAAAAAATACCACTTGCAAAAAAATGCAAGTAGAAAATCTGGTTAAATTCGAACCCTGACCAGGTGAGCTAAAAACACATGAAGGATTTTCAAGCATGCATAAGGAAGAGCTCTCAAATGTTCCATTATATTTACATACAATGGATCAGGCAGTTTTCTTTACCACTATTTCTCCTGGCTTTTTTTTGGGGCATGAAAGAGTCTTATATTATTAGTCTATTACCCCATCACATGATTAATATATATAGTCCAATCAGACACACTGTTGGTTCCAGGTTGTTTTGCTCTAGGTTGTTTTGTCCCTAACTAAAAAATTAGGGCAAAACATTGTTTGGAATTTTCTTTCAATTTTTATAGTTTAAAGGGGCATCACGGTGAAGTAACTTTATTTTTTGTCTTTTTTTCAAATACTACATAAACATATCAAGTGAGACTCCTTATGGAAAATAACGATCAGATTTGGCTGAAATAGATTCATAAAAATGATTAAATCTAAGAAATTCATCGGTATTTCTACCTGTCTGACCAACGTTTTGTTCAGGGATTTCCCTCTACTAGCGCATGCGCATAGCACACCATTTCTTTGTAAACAAAATGGACTGGCCATGTGAAGTAAGCGAAAGAAAAGTGTTGTACCGTGTC